CCAAAACCCCAAAACCCCAAAACCCCTTTATGGTATAATAATCTTTGTATTGGAAGTTATGAAATTAAGAATTGGATAAATTGAATTTTATTAATCAGGATTATAAATCATTAGAAAAACTTCTTTAATTCCTATATTTTTTCTTATGATAAATTTTCTAATGGAAGGATTTTCAAAGTCATGTTAGTTCTCAGCATATGTAGCTTGATCTTTTTGTAACTTGACAGTGAAAACACTATAATCAAAATGACCATAATCACGATAAAACAACTAAATAGTATCAAATAATCTCGCAATAGCTATGAATAGTAATCTAAAGTGGTATCGGTAGCCTTTTACTTATACAAATTCAGCATATCAAGCATTACAAATTCCAAAGTTTCTACCATATCTAGTACTTGACTGTCAGCTATAAAATCTTTTAGCTATTGAAGTGTCCTGTGTTTAATTGCTCTGAATTATAGATTTTGCTCTAATATTTAGCTTAAGAAGTAATCTAGAGAATTCTAAAGTCCCTTCTTTAAAATTCCATTGTAAGCAATTATACACTTATTTGACATTTCTTGAGAAGAGTTATAGATACTATTACAAGCTGTTTCACTTTCAATTTAATTGATGAAGGATTTTAAGTTATTCAAAGGTAATGGGATATTCCTTCTTGTCTTTTGGTAAAGCTATGATTGCTTTTGGCAAAATTCAAACTTTGTCTCAAAAGAATCAATGTCCTTGTTCCAAAATAACACCAATGATGAATTCTGAATTACATTTTCCCTATGAGCATTGATAACTTCACTCAAGCAACTTCCTTTAGAATAAATTTCTCCCAGAGTATCAACAATACCAGATATTGATTAAAATGTTCTTAAGGACATAAAATATGAGGCGATGAAGTAAGAAGCAAGCATGAGTATCACGAAAGTGCTTGAAAGCATTACTCTATTTTATTTTTTCGTTTAGTATTTTCTGATTGACTACTTTTTTACATAATTAATTTCCTTGATTTAAGATTCATTTAAATCTGACTCATCCTCATAATTTCTTTTTCTATCTATCTAGTCTTATAAAACTAACTAGATATCATCTACATTAATTTATTGGCTCATTGGTTAAATTTAGATTCTTAACTATGAATTGAATAGTTTAGTATTAGTATCATTTAGCATATCTCTTTATGTTCTGCTTGGGTCATTATCAGGAATTTCATCTTGTAGATTCACTGCAAATGTTTCATTTTGAACATTTTAGTAGCTTGTTCTTGAATAGGGCATCATCCTCTAAGTTTTTGAGTATGATTTTTTAGTTAATATACTATTACTAACACTTATAGAATTAAAGAGATCTTCGCTAAGATAATCACTTGATTCCATCATTTATAAATTTTACGATTCAGGTTAATTTTTATCCTTTGAGCCATTTTTAATTGCTACAAGATCATTTACCTAATTAATGCATTCATAGCACTTTTCAACCAATCTATGAACTTGATCTTGAGACACTAGCAAAAAGTAAGATAACGCTTAATACTACATTACAGTAATTCTTGCTAGTAATGGTGTTACAATTAATCCGACTACTAAAATTGAAGCCACAGATATAATGATAGTTGTTTCAGTTGAACTTTAACTCTAATCAGCAAGGTGCTTTATATCTCTGATATAAAAATCTTTATGAATATGAATCTAATTTGAAACATCATCAAAACCATTTTAAATTGCAAAAAATAGAGTCCTCTCATTAATAGTGGTTTTAAGAGTAAGTGATCGATCAAATGAAAAATTCAGAAGCTTTATTCTTCCCCTTAGTAATGATTAGTCCATATTAGATATTTCCAAAAGTCTGTTGACATACAAATTCATTGCAAAGGCAAGAGAATGATTTGTTTATGTTACTAGATTATCTTCTGTTAGATATTACACTATTAGATTTTCATCATTAATTAAGAATTTAAACTCGCTAGAGTATTCAAAATCAGCATTCTCTATTTCTAATTCAACTGCTTTAACTTACTCTATTAATTAATCAAGTCTTGCTAGATATTTATTTGATCTATTTCCAGAAAAGTACTTTAACTACTCTGATTCATAACCTTAGGCGATATTAACTAATATTCTTACTATTATTCCAATTCTTTAATTATATTCAATCCTTTAGTAGCTGTGCATCAAAGTTTTTATTTGAACTGACAGATTGTCTGAAGTTTTTTTAGTTAGAGATAAATTTACAGAACTTATTGTGATCATTATTACAAACACTAAAAAAATCAGCTAGAATATGACTTTAAGAGAGCGAGGTGTTTCTTTACCAGTTTTTGAAAATGATTATCGTACACTTTCTTAATCAAATGAAGAAGTTATAGAATCTGACATTGATCCTTTCATTTTGTAATCTTGATCTTGTTGTGAAGAAATTGAATTTTCATAATCATTTTCATTTACCTCTAGTATTTAAGCAGAATGATCTAATAATGACATTGATTAAATTTTGCTCTCTTACAATAGCTAAACAGCAATTATATTCATTTAGCATATTCCCAAAGAAAATATTTCTTGAAACATTACTGCTAGTGCTTTAATTTTTCTAGACTTTGCAAAATCTTTTTAATTTTAGTATTTTAAGTTATTCATAACTTCAAGATCTAGATTAAAATAGAACTCGAAAACGTTTGATTTATCTTTTTGTTCAGAATCTACATTATTTTCCAAATTTTTAAGAGTTAGATCTGGGATGATATCAGAAATATTCAAATAATCTCCTTCCTCCCCGTTCACTTCATATGTATTCAAATGTTTGGGTGTTATTCCTAGAATTTGATAAACTTTTTCAGATACTTCTTATATAACTCCATTTTTGTCTGTTAAAAAGTACATTAAGTCATAAGGAGACATTTTTGGGCCGTTTTTTTATAACTATATCTCAAATATAGGTGAAACGAAGACAATTAGAGTATGACCGTGCTTTAATGAATAATGGCACAAAACATTTATCTGGTATGGTGCTGCATAGCCATTCTTATGGATAGCAAAAAGATTACTGTTAGAATGTATCAAATTTGAATCTCCAGTTTGAACAAACCTATTTACAAACTTTACATGGTTTTCTTTAACAATTTTAGGTTGAATAGCAGAAATTCTTGCATGCTTCAAATCAGCAGGAGTAAATCCTAAAACTTTCATTAAAATTTAATTAGCACTTATAATTTTTCCGAAATCTGGACTAAATGAGTTAACAAGAACTACTCCTAAATCTGTATCTGAGTAAAATTACTTATTGTTATTTTTGAATAGTAGTTGCATATTAATCAGACTTTTCATCTTGTTCATATAAAGCTCATAGCTCTATATGTCATTAATTAAAAGTTTTTAAACAAGAGCATAGCAATGATACAGCTTTTAGTCTGCATATTTAGAGATTAAGTTAATTTTCTGAAATAGCTATTGAACTTATAAGACTCTTTCAGCAACTTTGTCACTTTTTTCTTTAATACTTTTCACATCTAGCTTATGATTATTTCCAAGAAATGACCTCCAAAATTCCATAACATCTATTGACATTACTTAAATTACTCCAAAGAAAATCTTAGATAGGTAATTTACTGAAAATTTATTAAATAAAAATGTTATTCTTACCTTGAATAAAGTGATCTGGTTCAATATTGTCTTCCCCTATATAATCTGGAATACTTCCATTTTAATAGGAGCCTTTTAATATTTATTATTCATCTAAAACTACACCATATTATTTGTGTTTGTATCCATTTTAGTATTTTCTTCTATCTTGAATAACTTTTAAGATTAGATAGATTTGATAGGCTTCATTAATCTTGTAGTTTATTTTCTCTAATGTTGAAAAACTTCTTGAGTCAAAAGATCTCAAAAGGTTTATTGCCAAAAAGCAATTATGAGCTTATTCAAATGCAAACATTTAGTAGTTTAGTTATATTATTGGATTTTAAGGAAATTTTTGAAGTGCTTCTATAAAAATAATTTTACAAAATTCTAATAGAAATGAATGTATCATCTTCTATAAATCCAACCGCATTACAGGAGTTTCTTCTATCTCTTAAAATTCTTAATTGGCATTAATTTCATTATTTTGAAAATTTTCACTTTTAATAATAGAATGCGAGTCTTCAATTAATAATGAAGAGTCATCTTGCTTAAACTTTTTCCTACTGTTACTCATAATTTTTATATAATCCTTTTTCAGAAATTAATTGCATGTAAAAGGTGTATCAAATGTTGTTGCTTTTGGAGCAATGAATTAATCAAGATTACATTAGTTGAGAAATTCAAGTTCATCAGGATACAAATCAATATTGTTTCCATTGCTTTCTTTACTTGCTCTTCTTAAAATCCAAATAAAAGCATCTACATGGTGGCAAAAACACTAAGTTTATTTGCAGTTAATATTATGATGCTTCGTGAGATCCAAGAATTAACAAATATTTTCTAATTAATCTGACTTATTTGCAATTATCTTATTGATCTTTTCCAGCAAATAATAGTAAGCATATTGATACTCATGCTACTATTATAGTTCTCCCTTTCTAATCTTACTTTATATGAAATTACTCCAAAATTTATTGGCATAAAGTATAAAAACAAATGCAAGAGTAGACATTGTAAAGAAGTAAAATAATGCTTATTTCACTAGTGAATGAGTCTAGCCGTTTATTATAATTACGGTAAGTAATCCAAAGGTAATACTTTCAAACATCTTGTTAGTGATCTCAACTTTCTTATTGTAAATAGGTGAGTATATAACTCTAATGTATAGATGTAAGGTAAGAATTAGAAGCAAAGTTATCCCGCATAAGATTCCATAGGGATCAATAATATTCTAATAATTAGCTTTCATTGATTAGTAGAAAATTATTGCTAGTCTTATCAATAATCTAAAAGCATGTTCTCGATGATTTGGAGTAGAGTAACACACATGAGTATTATGTATCTTTATAGAATGAAACTTTTTAAATACAAGCGTGAAAAAAGTAAGAAGTCCTAAATCGAAAATTACTAAAAAAATGGCGACTATTTCTAATTAGATATTATTCCTATCTACAGGAGTAAGTAACTTTCTAACCCCTAGTAAAAATATAGGAACCTGAAAAACAGTGTCCAAAAGAACAATTATAGTCATAAAATATTTTTTAATGAAGCTTTGTTTGTCTATATTACTCACAATATTTCGCACTTGGATAGTTGAGTATGCAAATAGAGTCAGTAACTACAGTTGTAATAGAATCATAATAGAGTGGATAGCAATTGAATTAATAGGACTAATTTCTGCTATATACCTTTCTACTATCCATAAATCTCTCAAATTACTTACGTATAATTCACAATAAACTGTTGAAATTAGTAAGTAGAATATGAAGATTGAATCAATAGAAAAAAAGATGATGTACATATTTTCACCGATAACATTGTTTAAATTGAAGGACAGAGCTGACCAAGCAATATTATCAAAAGATCATAATTATTCCCAAAGATTTCGGTTTTAATTGAAATGACTGTTTATACTCTAGATAGTATCTACTTCTACTGAATCTATCGCTTTTTGATAGACAATCCTTGAATGTTTTGCTTTTAAATTTTGATCCCCTTGCATTATTGTTTATTAAGCGCTAAATATTATTTTCTCAATTTGGTAGAGAGCGATTAAATAAATTAATCTTTTATATTTTAATAGCAAACTATGATTCTTAATTATCACTATTACTCTATACTAATGGGGTTTTGGGGTTTTGGGGTTTTGGGG